TCAAAAATAGAGTAAATTAAGCAAGTGGCACCACCCTCTGTTTCGCTCTAACTCCACCCCTGCATAAGGTCGTCATGGGTGTTCAACCAAGATGGATAACCAACTCATATCAAGTTCAAGTCCATCTCGGGCTCCAGGACCAGTCCATACTAAAATCATTGCCTAGAATATTGTATTCGGACTCCGATTTCAACGTTCTACATATGTATGAAAGCTAATGAGATCACATTTAAAATGAATATGGTCTCACGTCAAAATTCCTTCCAAGCTGACGAGAATAGTCAAAACAAGAAAGGGTCTAGAATCTGTCCGGGTGCTGCGCCATCATCTTTGGACTATTGGACAAGTATCATGTCAGAGTCCGATAGGGACTCAGTTCAGGGGTCCAAGGTCGACCCTATAACCTATATATTCAATAGCTGTTGTTAATTTAGGGTTGGATTTTACTTAGATTATTTCCGCCATTATAGTTTCGCCGCTAGTTCAGTTTGTGGAACCCCAACTTCGAGTTCTTCATTAAACATTCATCTGCAATTGAGTTGTTGTCTTCTTGTTCTTTCTTGTGTTCTTGGATTCACACGTACGGATTAGTCCTCTTGGCGAGGTCAATCAAGTTTCAGCACGGTTGATAACCAGATAAGATGGGGTGCTACGATTGGGATCGTGTTGATCGGAAGCCGGATATTCATATGAACTGTACTTAATACGGTGAACTTTCCTCTTTTCAGAAAAAAAGTGAAATTTTATTTTACTATTATTTTATGGAAAGTACAACAAAAATGAGAAAGAGGGAGCACCGTAAAAGAGCGGAGCTCAACTCACTACCAGAAACACGGCTAGCCCTAACGGCCATTAATTTTCTTGACGTAAAGTCTCCTATCGGGAAAATTCAACTGTTGTGACGAGTTTTGATCAACGTCAGAAATATTTAAACACTTTCCTTAAAACAAAAAATGAAAATAATATAATGATGTGTGGACCCAACAATGAAAATATAAATACCATCAATTCCATTGGAATTTCAAAATAATATTTTTATTATTTAATATCTTGCACAATGGTTTAATATATACTGCTGTTTTTAAGATTTGTGACAATGATATAAGTGATTTAGAAGTTGAATATTAAGTTCAACTAATTAGTTTTTCAATTCTCATAATGCCATCATTTACACGGATTTTCGAGAAAAAAACATTCAACCAACATATATGATTAAATTTAATTTTATTCAGCGACTTATATGATTAAATTTAACTTTACAAATTATTCACAATTGTTCCAAGTTTCTAAGTTATATTACACCAAATACTAAATATGTTGTTACTCCAGCATGAGTGCAGATCAGTACTTTCTAATTTTGAATTGTAAAACTATCAAATTGAAGTAACAGAAGAAATATTAGTACTATAAATAAAATAGAATCATTTTTATTTTTGAATTCTTATACAAAGTATAATAACTGCTGTTTATGACATATGATCACTATATAATATCAATTTATATTGTCAGTTAAATTATTGTTGTAATGCGTCATATATATATGTTTGCATTTTGCATTTTTGCCTGGAGTGCTATTCGGAGTCAAGTTTGACTAGTTGTGTGTGTGCTAATATTTTACAATGTAATATCCCAAGACGACATACTAAAATAACGGTTATTGTGTTTTCTTCTTGCAAAATACCAATAGCTAAACTGTCCTGTTTTAAGTTGATCCTCAATTCTAGAGGAAACACCACAAATTTTTAAGATTCCAGGAGCAATTTTTTGCCAAAAAAATTTAACACACTGTCACATCATCCACATATATTCATATAGCCGTAGGTGTCATTTATTTTATTGTGAAATTAACTACATGTACTTATTATTTGGCAGTATTACACAACTGCCATATCATCATCTAAAAAACGCAAAACTGACGTGTATAGTATCCCATTTAGATTTGAATTTTTTATTCGATGAACACTTTAGTTTTTAATTTTAAAAACATACAAACCCAAAAACTCTTACATCCAAAATTGTGGCATGACCATCCAAATTTGGAAATAAGTTTTAGAAGGGTTTATTATTGACATTATAAAAAACAATTTTTCTAGACAAAAAACCGTTTAGTTTGCAGGTGGACCGTATTTGGTCGCGTTTGCAAAAATCGACCCGTATTTTCGCAACGTCTTCTTAATAGAGATGTCATGCGAAAATAAACCTATTTTTGCATGCGGTTCTGTTAAGAATCATGCCTGCAAAAAGTCCAGCCGACCTCCGTCCATCTTAAAAAATTTACCCGGCCACTCAACCTTATCATGTTTTCTCCTCCATTCTCTCTCTCTCCCCCATGTCCTCCGGCTCTACCACTCATTTCTGCTCTTTCCCAGTGTTTGTACGATAATTTGGCTTATAGTTAGTGCATTTAGGCAGGCCAAATTATGGAGAATAGTTGGTGTGATTGGTTAGTGGTTTAATTATAAGATTACCACATTTTATATGTGCAGAAATATTTGGTGCATTGGAAGATTAAATCTGTGAGTTACTTGGTGACTGTGGTATTTAACCCAGTTGGAGATTATGTACATGGAGCTGTTGCTTGATGGTTGGTTTGAGCTGTTAACTGGAAGGAATGCAAGGTGTTAGCTTGCTGCTCGATGGTGTGGAAGCTGTACTGCAGGAGACCTCTTAGCCATGTTCAGGACGGTGATTAGACAGAGGCAAGTGGATGGATGGATGTGGTGATCAGGCCGGCTGCTGATGCTGGCGTGGCTTGTTAGAGCCGATGAAGCCGGTTAGCGCGTGCTGCGGCAAGATAGATAGAAACAGATCAGCCGGTTAGTTTGTTTCCCTTTCCGATTAAACTTTTCCATACTTTTATGGGACCAATTAGGATTGTTAAAGATCGATTAGAGTAACCAGTATATATACTGGTGACGGCAGATTAGAAGAAACCCTGAACAATTTCATTCTACCATTCATCTTTTTTACCTTTATGTTCTTTTCTATCTCGTTTTCATGGCTGAGTTCTAACAACCCTAGAATTTAGTTAATCTTTGCCATTTTGCGCTGAAAAACGGTCATGCTTCTCCACGAAAGCGAGAAGGTTATCCTTTGCTAGTTTGCTCGGAAACTAGTCGTTCGTCGTCACGTAAGTACGATATTTATCTTCTTTGGTAATTTGCTTGTAAATTAGTCGTGTGATTCCGCGAAAGTGAATTGATCTCGAAATCGGCTCTGCTAGCTGATTTTGATCTATCAATTTTGGCGACTCCGTTGATTACACCGTAAATCGTTAGGTGATCTTGTGTTGGCCACGAAAAAGCGTCAACACCTAGCCCTCTCTCTCCCTCTCTCTCACAGCGGTGGTGGCGGAGGAGCGGCGGCAGCAGTTAAGTTTAGCAATGGTGGCGACGGCGACTGAGTGAGCCTCTCCGCCTCCCTTGTGGATCTACCGCCGGTTGGCCTCGAGAGAGGTGGATCCAGCGGCAGCGGTGTTAGGGGAGGCAGATTCGGTGGTGGTGGGTGGGAGACGCCACGACGATGGTAGATCCAACTACCCCTCTCGCGTGGCGACGACAACGATGATGAGCAGCGGACTTGGTGCCCCCTTCCTCTCTCGCACGGATCCCGATGGCCCTATGCGCCGACCAGGATGAGGATGGTGGCAGCGGATTCGAGCAACGACGGCCACGTTGTAGATGGCGGCGGTGGCGGCTTCTAGGGTTAGGGTTTCGTGATTTTTGAATTTTTATTTTTTTGTGATTTTTATTTTTGCATGCAGATGACATAAGCACGTGTGGGTGCACCACCGCACGCAAACATAGCAAATTTTGCAGACACCTCCAGGCATATGGGGCGGAGGTCCACATACAAAAAATAATCTATTTTGGCCGTTAGGAGAAATTGATTTTTCTAATGTGAAAAGGTTGAAAAAACAAAAATAAATCTCTATATCAGATTTTCCCTAAACCATGTTAAGTGGGGATACTTGATAAACAACAAACAATCATTTCCACCACTTAGTGGAAGCCGAGTGGCCGAACATGTTCAGCATAACGTCCATAACAAAATTAGTTAATTACTCCTGTATTATATATGCAATATGTCAAAAGGCCTAGGGGCATCAATTAAGATCTTCACAAAGGTATTATTACTCTCAATCTCCTCAAGCGACTATATATATAGCAATCCTGACATCATTTCGATAAACATCGACAGTGTGAAGCACGTACGGCTACACACGACAAGCACAATGACTCATCATGCTAATTAATTTGTTAGTGAGAGCTTACTTCCAGAAGAAACTTCTGACTTAAAAAAAAATGGACATGAGCTTGTCCAAATATGGAATAACCAGAAATTTGTTTTTTCTATGACAGGGGCACATAGGCCTGTACTTCTTCCGTCTTAGAATAAACCAATCTAAAAATCAGATGTCGTATTTTTTCTAATATAACGGATCTATACAGAGATATTTCTACGTTCGCTGTTCTATAAAATATTATATCCTATTTTAAATTTATTTATTTTGGGATAAAGAGAGTATGTAGGCAGTAGTACCATACGAATACGAGTGTAGTGGCACGATCTTTTATTTTTCCAGTAAAGAAAGCGTACTTCGTGCGTGTCGCTGTTAACTACATGTGGGAAGAACATCGCACGAGGAGAACGAGGAAACAAGGAATTTATAAACAGATGGCGTTTCGTAGATACTTTTCTGAAAAGACCGTAATTAGTATGGAACTTCTCTTCTGCAGGTAAGGATTTCGTCATAGTACAACATTGCTGATCGTGAACTCCACTATATTATTCGAATTAAATCAGTTTATTAAGAAAACTGCTTTAACAAACATTATATATCAAAAATATTTTCGAAAATCTCCGAAACAAATATACTAGCACTTGGCCCTTCATTTTATTATAGGGCTTGTACGTACATAAGTTAATTATTATTTTATAAAGTATACCAGGGGGAAAAACAGAGCAGGCGACTTGGAGATTTTGGTGCTGCCTGTACAAGCGCAGCTTTTTTTGTTTTCTTTAATGCAACACATACAGCAAAGATTACATACTAAGTGGCCTTACGACACGACGCTATATATTATTCCTCTAAACCGAATGTAGCAATGAGCATGCACCACCATATATAATAAATAGCACCCTCAAAGACAAATATATATATGAGACTAGCTAAAAGCAACAATGTTCCAATGATGAAGAATATGTGTATGCCCTAATCTAGCATTCAGCCTGAATGCTAGCGGGAGTCATCTTGAAGTAGTGGTCCCAAGCGTATTGAAACGTGACCGATTTGGCGCTCGGGATGCGCCGGCCATCGCCGACGAGGTAGCCGGCAGACCCCGCCTGTCGGAACAGCTTGGGGTCAACGGCCACCGCGCTCGTGAAACCGTCGGCCCTGAGGAAGACGGTCCTCACCGTGCACGTGCACCTGTTAGTCACCGACACTTGGAACATCGTGTCGAGCGCGCCGACCTTCTTCCCGGTGTTAGTCTGCTGGATGTCGATGCTCGATGGGGTGCACCGCTGGGACTCGGCCCCTATACGACGTACGGCGATTGACATCATGACCGGCTTATAACCTCCATAGAAATAAACTCTACTAGCTCCATCTTAAAATACACGTCGTTGATTTTTCGTATAGCATTTTAACCATTCATCTTATTCAAAAGTTTAACATAAATATGTAAAAGTAGAGGTTATGATTATAGTATTCTCAGTGGCGGATCCAGAAAATTGGTTCGTTGGTGTCATAACGTGTCTATCGGTGTAATAGTATGCTAATTATGCTTAGAACATGATGTTATAGTATATGGATAAGCAGTTTTACTATAGGTTTTGCCGAAAGTCGTCGGTGTCGCCTGACACCGATGATTATACTGTAGATCCGCCCCTGAATATTCTTGATGACAAACAAATCACAACAAAATAAATAATATTTATACTAAATTTTTGAATCAGACGAGTAGTCAAACGTGATGTGAAAATTTAATGGTGTCGTATAATTTAGTACGGAGGGAGTAACATTGAAAGTGATTGAAATGGGATTTTGTTAACTGCTATTACCTTGTACGGCCATGAGGAGCATAAGGATTGTAAAGGGAATCATGAGTTGCGGCTTCGTGATCTTCGCCATTGTTTGAGCTCTCGTACTCTACTTATTTCCCTCTTACACTTTGAACTCGAATTGTTGGATCGGGGCTGTTGCCGATGTAAGGGCATTTATAGGGCCGTATAGGGGCATATGCATGCATGCACGCCGTGTGAAAGATGTGCATTGCGAAATGGCGCAGAAACTATAGGGATACATACGCGTTTGTTTAAATTTTACCGACTTTTCAAAAAAAAAAACTGCTGTTAAGCCAACCGATTTACTATATTCTTACTGCTAGCTTTATCAAAGTGATTGCACTGCACGGAAAGCAAAGGACCGGTGCAAGTTGTATGACCCTTTTCGTTTCTGAAATTGTCTTAAAATAATCATCACCGGGACCGGAAGTTTTACTATTCTATGTATATAGTCTCAAATCGGCCGGGTCTAGCTTAATTAGGGCTTGGCCATGCGTTCCTTCCGTCCAACAACGTTGTAACAAACGGGAGATAAAGTTAGATATATACTATTCCTCGGTCCTAAAATAATGTAGTTTTAAGCTTTTAGTTTAGGATTTTATATCCAACGGACACGTTATTTTTTAGATGGATCCACTGGAGCTTTTAAATACTATCTTATTCTTTTATTCTCATTTCAATCCTTGATCCAGTAGTATTCCCTCTTCTTTCTAATTTTCTCCTTATTCTCGTTTGATTTTCCACATCAATATAGGACATATTAGTCTTTTAGGATATGGAGAAGGTATATGGAGAGTAGTACAATAAACTCCCTCCATATTAAAATATAGTTTTTATTTACATGTACATACATAAGGAAAAAAAAACTTAACTATTCTGTTATTCAATATGTTCTGCGGCAAAGCTAAGCTGCCAACCGGTTCGAAGAAATGAGCAGGGGAGAACGCACTCTATCCGTACTCGTGAAGGAAGTTGTTTAGGACAGCGACACGGTCTCCAAAATACAATTTTGACTCCTTGTTTCTATAAAAATATTTATTGAAATGTGATATATGTATACTTTTATGAAAGTATTTTTCAAGACAAATATATTCATATAATTTTTACATTTTCAAACTCAACAACTTGAGAGTTATTCATTATTTATATTCTCAAGGTTTGACTTAAACATTGTCCTAAACGACTTCCTTTACGAGTATGGAGCGAGTATATCGCTTTCTAACCTCTTATCTTTTTATCCTCATTTCTAACCTTATCTTTTAAGTATACAATATGTATGTGGTGTGATCATTAAATAGAATTAAATAGGGTTATTGGGCTAATTTTTGTTTGTTGCTAATCTGTCTCTAGTCTCCTTAAAAATAAAATTGTTCTTGAATGAAGGCAATACATAACAAAGGCAGCGTTCGAGAGGGTGAGAGAGTGAGTTTGTTTGTTTCGTTTTCCGCGTGCACGTTTCCCAAACTACTAAACGGTGTGTTTTTTGCAAAAATTTTCTATATGAAAGTTGCTTTAAAAAATCATATTAATCCATTTTTAAAATTTAAAATAGTTAATACTCAATTAATCATGAGCTAATAGCTCACCTCGTTTTGCGTATCTTTCCAACCTCCTCAATCCCCTTCTCCTCAAACACACCAAAAAGACGCTGAAATAAACAAGCAGAAACTTTGTGCCGAACAATTTGATAAATGTGTGAACGTATTTAGAATCGAAAACGCACGTGGGACATAAAATCATACAACTCTGTGTGACTACATGGCTAGATTACCGAATTTGATGGGCACCCAACAACATCCAGGGGTGAACTTTGATCATTCAACTAGTTGATACCTGGCGCTTCGCTATGTGATATGTGGACGCATGCATGTTATATATTATAGAAATGATAGTTTGTATATGTTTAAATAACGTAAAAATGATGTGGAGATAATGATTTGACATTTCTTGCATATTGAGTTCTAAAAATATAATAAAATTGTAAAATTGTAAACTTTATATGATATTTAAAATACTTTAGATAATAATTACTCGTGAATGATGATGTGTCACATTTTCATGTTGTGGTTTAGGAGTTAGTGGGCATCTATAGTATAGATTGCTTCAGTGTCTTAACACACATAAGGCTCGAATATAGGATGTAACTTTCATTTATTGTGTGTTACACGAGTAAAAAGAAATGGAGGTCTGCTCACCTAATTATTAATCCCCAGATCATCCCCAGATCCATACCCCTAATTAATCCACATATCATCCTGATCGCAAGAACAGATCCCAAGAGCACTATTTCAATCCCATTCCAAGAATCCCATTATAAGAATTAATGGATAACAATGAACTGACATTTGGATTCAACTCAATCGATCAAGGAGTACATATTGAAAAACCTACATCGGATTCACCGACTCCATCCCAGCAGAGCCCCCAACACCATCATCGACCTCACTCGCTACCGCCATCTCCCCCGACCTGTGGTCGTCATTGATCTCCCTCGCCGTTATCGTCTTCCTTGAGTAGCGGATCCCTATACACATGACGTACAGAACCCTCTCTTGTTTCGTAATTGTTGACGTTTTGCAAAAGTTTGACGTCGAACATTTACAACTTTGACAATTAATGGCTTTAAAATATTTAATTTAAAAGCACTAGAACAACACATATAAATTTGTTATATATATAGTAACAACTACAATTAATAATAACAAAAATAAAAATATATTTATTTCTTATATATATAGTAATAAATAAATATAGTCAAAATAAGATTGTCTAAAATGTTAATTATTGTGGAACCGAAAGGACCAGTGATTAGACCTGATCAAACTCTAGAGCCCTGCCCCTTGATTATCTAAAGATAACGGCATATACATAGTAGCAATGATTTACTTTCCTGCACACAAACATAACGGAAAGACAACTGAACATGTTGACGTTGGTCGTCGTAGAGTCAAGAAATCATTAGTCAAACAAAAAAGTATCCATAGCAAGTCAAGTAAACATATGACTGGTTCCACTGAACTATCTACGAGGTCATTTCGAAGTCGCCTTCCAATTTCGTAGACGCTACTGTACTTGTCCAGATAGAAAAAAGAAAAAAAAAAGGCAACTTGTTTTTCAGGAAGAATGTATACTGCAGAGGCTTAACTGGTTTCTGGTGGGCTTAGTAGCTAAATCGGATGCCACGATCTGCTGATATCACAGGACGCAAAAGTTGAAATAAAGGGAAATTTGGTTAGCAGAAGTACAGTAGTTAGTTAATGCGTATTATCTCAGGATTTACCCTTTGGGCTAATAAGAATTATGTCAAGCTACTTTTATTTGACTATAGAGATTAGGGAAGAACCAAATAGCTAATCTGACTGTGCAATTTTCCAGAAATATCTCGTAAGCTAATCTTATACTTGAGATGTCAAGAAGTAGGTCTCCTTCGTGCTCGAGAAAAAAAGATAATTAATAGCAGAAAACCTTTAATCAACGAGGAGTAATTAGGCGCAAACCCTCCATTCCAGTATAATCATGCAATCCATTGTGTATCATTGGATTCAAGATCAGGGTTAGCAATCTTGAAATTGTGATTTTTGCCAGGGGTGGCCGACATGGCCGACAGAACCGAAATTTCGAAAATTTCAGTACTTTTTTGCTGAAATTTTTTGAAACTTTCATGAATTTTGAATAAAATTTGACCAAATTCAAAATAAAGGAAAAACAAACCAAAATTCAGGTGAGATATCTGCTTGCCGGTGGGGGGCGAATTTCCGAAATTTCCTTTGGAAATTCCAATCACTGTTCAAGATAGCTGGTTAGATCAAGCACCTCATCTCACCACACCATTCTGCAAATAACTGCTCGCCTCTCATTGTTTACTGTGTTTTGATCCGTTAGCTCCTCTTCCTGTCTCTTTATCTAGTCTCATCCCTTTCTCCTAATTGAGTAATAGATTTACTCATAGTAAAACTGGGAGTAAAATATTTACTTTTTTGGAGTTTAAGAGTAAAATATTTACTCACACTTAAAACCGGGAGTAGTTTTTTTTTACTCAGATTCAACAATTTATAAAAGAAATACTCTATATTTTACTACAAGTAACTTTTTTACTCTTGGATTTTAACTAAGAGTAATTCCTTTTATTTTAGATTTATCTATGAGTAATTATTTCTCTTCGATTTTACAGATGAGTAATTCCTATATTTAAAGGCGAGGAATTGGTTTAACTATGAGTATTTTTCTTTTACTCAAGATGGGATGTTTTTACTCAGAGGGAGCAACAGAGGAAGAGAGCACGGCTGGAGAAATGGACTTTAGTCCCAATTATACAACCGCGACGTATAATCTGGGACTACAGATGTCCATCTTTAGTTCTGTTGAAATATCACAACCGTTTGTAGTCCCGGTTATGCAACCAGGATGTACAATCCGAGGCTAAAGATGTCCATCTTTAATTCCATTGAAATAACCGAGACTAAAATGCATACCAAGTCAAAAAAAAATATGTGGGATGCGGGATTCAAACTCAAGATCTCACCTCAGCCCTCACGCACATTACCATCCCACCTACTACACACATCTAGCTTGGATAGAGATTCTTTCTTGTTAAACTAACCCTGGAGGCATCTTTAGTCGGGTTGGTAACAACAACCGGGACTAAAAATATCTTTAGTCTGAGTTGGTGTCACCAACCAGGACTAAAGATCGATTTTTAGTCCCGGTTGGTGATACTAACCCGGACTGAAGATGGAGGATCTTTTGTCCCTATTGGTACCATCCCACCTACTACACACATCTAACTTGGATAGAGATGTTTTCTTTTTAAACTAACCCAAGAGACATCTTTTATCCGGGTTGGTAATACCAACCGAGACTAAAGATATTTGGGGCCTGATATGGCCTAACAGCTACTCCCTCCGTCTCATAATATAAGGGATTTTGAGTTTTTGTTTGCAACGTTTGACCACTCGTCTTATTTAAAATTTTTTGAAATTATTATTTATTTTATTTGTGACTTACTTTGTTATCTACAGTACTTTAAGCACAACTTTACGTTTTTTATATTTGCAAAAAGAATTTGAATAAGACGAGTGGTCAAACATTGCAATCAAAAACTCAAAATCCTTTA